GCAGGCACCTACCGACACACACACAGCCACACACATAGAACACACTGGGCCATACTAAGCCCAGGACACTCGACTGCGCCTTTGGGCTAAATGTGTCCCAGTCGCATGCACGCGCTAACTAAATCGGAAACCAATTTGCTTATCGCAGCAACCCTATCAGCATGTGCTGGTACGTGTGTGTGTGGGTGTCTGTGTGTGGCAACTCAATTTCAGGCAAATGCTGTAATCGTGCTTCGAAATTCCAAGCAGACGATGTCGCACGTCGACGTCATCATAAATAAATACATCGAAATGCGACACGACGCGACGCAGTGCAGCAAAAAGCGGCAAAAATATAACAAATTAATTGCTAACAAATGCCAAGGGCCATGGCAATGGAATTTGTGTGCATGTGTGTGAGATTGGGAGGGGTCATGGCATGTAACCTGTAACCTTGGGCCAGGGCCACACGAGAGCCAGCTGCAAACGTTTTTTGCTTATTGCTGAGAAACTTTGGCTCAATTGTTTTGGCTTATTTTTTGCTATTTGCTTTTGTGCATGTGTGTGTGTTGCTGTGCTAAGTCGCGTGCGCCGAGTGCCGCCAATGGCGTCGAAAATAATTACACTTGCTGATTTATTGAGTGTCGTGGTTATTGCGGCTGGCAAAAGAGGAAGTGCTCCCCACAGCCACAGACCTGCTTCTCACCATCATCCGTCTACCTTGAGGATGTTGTAAATGAGCCGCGACACTGCGACTGCAGCAATGTCATACTCCAGCGACTCGTTGGAGCTAAGAGGTGGAGTCCAAGTCTATAGCAATTAGTTTTGGCGGCAGCTTTTCGTGGAGTTTATGTTTGGATAGGGGTTTAATAACAAGACGGGGAAATTGATGCATGGGTTTGAATCTGAGAGTCGAACTAATTTATAAATAAATATAATCTACGCACAAATATAGGAGCTCGCAGAAGGTAAATTGAAAAATAGTTAGGTGAAACGTTGTGCATATCAACAACATTAACAAATCTCAATAAATATAAATTATATTTATGTGCCAGTATATGCAAATCTGATCTTATGTAAATTTTATAAATAGCAAAGCGTACTTTCAAAAAAGGTAATCAATCAAGGAACATAAAGTTTACTATTAATTGTATTAATTAAGGCAAAGCCTTAAAATATAAGGCAGTAAAAGTGTCATAATTTTTTTTGCTAATTGACAAAACAGAAATTGGTACTAAATATGTATATGCGAATATTCAGGTAATATATTTGGATTGTACTTATTCAAATGGAGATGAATTATATACTTATATGATTTAGCAATGGCCTTGTCGAGGCCGAGGCCGAGGCCGAGGCCGAGACCGAGGCCGAGTTCCATAATAATGCCATTAGTATGCCTACAATGCTGATTAGTATGGCAGAGACAAAACAATTCCAGGCCAACAACAAACAAGTCCAAATTATGTGGTCGCATGCCATTTAGCCTTGCTGGCAGGCCGGGTCGATCCGGCTCTGGGCAATGGGATAGGATACGGATACGGATACGGCCAGAGCAGGGGGGATGTGAATGGGGTGCCAGCGACAGGAAATGACACTCTCACTCGCAGTTGCTTAGCCCAGAGCTGAAGTTGCTTTCTGAGCGGTAAGTAGTTGCACCTCTCCTCCGCTGGCCATGGCTTCAGCCGCGGCAAGGGAGCCGGACGGTATCAGGGTCCACGGGGTATTCACAGTATTTTTCGTATTCGTATTGTATGGATTGCGTGCGGTCGTCGCATATTCAAAATCATCGCTCAAGCGAAAGTGAAATTAATTACACGACTTGAGTTCAGTTCGGTGCCAAGTTGAATTGTGCTGAGTCCTCGGCATTGTTGGACTTGTTTTCTTCTTCGCCCTAACACTCGCCTTCGCCTGCCTCTTTTTCTTATTGCCATTTGCTGGAGTAATTAATGAAAAAGGCAACCAAAACGCGCGCGCAGACACACACACACACACACACACACACACACACACACACACACACACACATACACACGCACACACAGAGAGAGAACTGCAGCGCTGCTTTGCGTCTTTTTGATTGGGGCGTCCTTTTATTTTTGTGTATTTTAGATTTTCGCTTCCTTTTTCCCAATTTGCCCAACTATCATCCACTGCCGCTTCCTGTTTTCTTCTTCTTAATTTGCTTGGCGTATTGCGCCAGAATTTCATTAGAGCCAACAATTTGCTCATTTCTTTATTTGTGGCCCTGGCAGCTGGCACGGATTTTGAGTGGCACGTCTCTGCGGCAGCCGTAACGGTATCCACTATCTTGTGGCATCTGCATGTGAGCCGCAACAAGGCCAAAATTGTACTATACAGACACACATACTCGCATACAAGCGGCACGCACATCATGACACGTTTACGATCGCATTATGTGCGCATTTGACGAGACATTTTGACACTCGGCTGCCGTGGAATTAACTTTGGCCTCGACGTCTTCTCGAGTCTAACGTTTGTCTATGCCAACGGAGTCTGCTTCAAACTAGGCATGTGTTAAGTACGCTGTGAATGGCAGTTGCTGAGCTATTTTTTTTATTTTTATACCCTTGCCAGAGGGTATTATAATTTCGTCCTAAAGTGTGTAGCCCACGGAGGCTGACGTCTCTGACCAAAGTCCATATATTCTTGATCAGTAACAACAGTCGAATTGATATAGACATGTCCGTCTGTATGTTTATGCCTTATTATAGTCTTATCACAAAACTAAAGAGAATATATATTATTTTTTTCCAAAGTAAAAGTAGTTAGACTCACCTACACACAAGACATAAATACACTTTCAGGCACATTTAATGGCTAACCTCTCTCTGAACTGAGGCTTGGGAATAAACTTTACAATCCAATTAACTGGCAATTATTCAGTATTCAGTTCATCTGCCCTATATATTAAATACATGTGTATCGCCATATCGTTGAATCTAGTTTAATTTATACTTTATTGTCATGGACGTGACTGCAGCAGCGGCCCAAAATGGCCTTAATAGTGTGTTCGCATTCACACGACACGACGGCTTTTAGACAGCCAACAGTAACTGTCGCTGTACTAAAAAATGACAAACAAATTTGTAATTCGTTCAATTGAATAGGATGTTTCCTTTACCAGCTGGTACAGTTTTTTCGCCTAGGTTTTTTCTGAAAACGTTGTAAAAACATAAAAACAAAGTGCATAATTTTAATTTCAATGTGATCAATATTTCAAGCAGAGAAAAAATATTTTAAGCCGAAGAAAGTAAATACCTGTACACGAATTTCCCTCTTTTTTTTATATTTCCGGTCCAAACTACTTTTCTCAAATGGCAACTGCGGCTGCTACTCTTCCAAATTATCCCATATATAAGCTACCAGATAGTGTGGCAAAGGGGCAATCAGACTCAGCTCATTTATTTTAGAGTGTTAAGATTCGATCAATGCAGTTGACTTGACTCCAGCTTGGTTTTGCCCCCCGATACCTGGAGTCGGATGGTCGAGAAACTCTCAGCTCGAATTGTAAGGCACCTGGGAGTCACTTTCCGAGTAGGTGCTCATTCGATGCTTGCTCTGATTAGGGCACAATGAGCCATCTCTTAATTATGGGCCAATGACTAAGAAGGCTTTAATCAGCGCCAATTGGCAAATACAAAGGCGAAAATGTGTAAATTGTAAAATGTGTAAGGCAGGAGCAGCAACAGGACGAAGCCGAGCAAACAGACGATGGCAAGCGCTCAATCTAAACCTGAACTGCTTGGCTGGGTCGATGGAGAGGGCACAAGACGCTGGCGGTGGGGCCAGTCAAGACTGTTAAGATGCTGGGGTGGATGTCGACTGGCAAAGCGACACATAAAAACCTTTTGCTAACTTAATTAAATTATACAATTTTCGTTGGCGCTTTTTGTAGAATAATTGGCAATAAATTGATTAAGGGTAATTAAACGTGCGGGGCCGGCAAACTACATAGATGGATAGATAATTGCATTGGCGCAAAAAGCAGCATTAATTAAAGCGAATTCCTGTCTGTGTGCGTGTGTGTGTGTGTTCTGCGTTTTAAATGCAATTTCAATTAAACTTTTGTGCAGCGCGATTTGCGCCTCCAGCTGTGTCCATTGTACTTAATGCAAATATTATGAATATTTAAAATAAATCGCTTACATCCATCGAGCAATCCCATGCAATAACAATCATTTAAATTTCACAATAATTACTCACTTACAACTAATTTTAGTTGCTGATTGAATCCATTCAATAAACAAATAATTAATAAAAAAACTTATTCAGAAGGGAAAACAATTAATCGGCTACAGAAATTTATATAAATAAAACTATAAAAAATATATGTTAAACCAAGTGCTGTAGTTACTAAAATCTATCCTAAACCAAAACAGACCCTTTTGCCAGGTATCAACTATACATCTGAATACATTTGAATTTTTCTTAAATGAGTTTAATCAAAATTTTGAGCACAATTAAAAACACGCGTCTTAATCTTGTGAACCGTATGTAAACAAATGGGTGCCAAAATTTAATGAGTATAGAAAATCATTTAAAAGAGATCCTGCACCAAAGTATAATTTACTTTGGCCCCAAATATTGGCTTTATCTAACCATATTGGGCTGATGCCAATTTTGGGTAAAGATCAAATCTAGCCCGTATCTTGTATATGAAAATATGTACGGCTTGCCATACTTTCAGTACAACGGGCATTTGGGTACCATTGTAAAAACCTATGCAAAATCAAGCAATAAAGAAGAAACTGGGTTCATGGATAGAGAAAACGTGGTGCACGGAGCGAACTTCAGGGCAGGGTGCTGGTTCGAATTGTGAACCGAACAACGCATGATTACTTTTAAGATTGTGCTTTTGTATTGTCAAAGTTCACGAGGGAAGATCAGGTTTTGCCTTCAATCTTAAAGCTGCGACAAGTTTAACAGAATGTGGCATATGCATCCCCAACTTTTCCGGTTTGATTTCTAACGTTGTTTGTGCTCTTCTCATTTATTTGCAGTGTCTGGCAGCATGCAGCGAGTGCTTTGCCTTGGTGCCCAGCGAGCGGTGTGCTCCCTGCCTCAAGCACAGCCTCACTAGGGCAACAAGGCGACGTTGGGTGTGGCCAGAAGCGGAATGATGGCTGCTTTAGCCTCAGCAGCCACCACCGCTGTGGCAGTGCCAGCAACAGCAACGGCAGCAGCAACAAGCACGGGCGCAGCAATTGCTAAGGCCACAACAACAACAACTACGTTGGCTAGCAAGTTGCTCGGTCATTTCCACAACCGGACGACGGACGCGCATGTGAAGAGCGTTGCGGAGACGGGGCTTGGGCCCCGGATCGTGGACGCAAATGGAGACGGTGGCAGAGAGGGCGACGGGGATGGAGGTGACGGCATGGGCATCGGAAGCTCCTCGACGCCCACCAACTACCTGTCCCTGTACGACGATGTGGCGAGCGCATTGGACGAGACGCAAGCGGCCGAAGAAGCTGGCTATGCGTTAATTGATGACATCAGCGAATGGCTGCTGGGCGCAGCCGGCGGCAACAACCTTAGCCTGAGCAGCGAGGCGACGCCCCGAAGCCTCGGTGCCAACAGTGCCAGTGCCAGTGACTTTAATGAGACCCTAAGGTGGCTGACACTGGACGTGGGTGAGGTTCAAAACAGCACGTTGCCCAGCAGCAGCAGCAGCAGCAGCAGCAGCAACAACAGCAGCAGCAGCAGCAGCAGCAACGACTTGGATGGAGATGGCGGCGGGCTCTATGCACTGCGCAACTTTGTGGAGCAACAGCTGAATGGAGACTCGGCACAGGATGCGCAGGACATAGCGCTCATTGATAGCGCGGAGGAGAGTGCACTCGAGAGTGTCGCCGACGGGGACGCGGACTATGGCGTTCTCGGCGGCTTCAATGGAGCCCCCCTCGAGGCGGATGTGGATGCCACCAGCGAACTCCTGCAGCGCACAGCGGCGACGATAACAAATCGGACGACAGTCGGCGCCAGTTATGATGCGAACGCCGTCTGGCTGAGTGGTGCAGGAGCACACGCCGCCAGTGCGGGTGCTGGTTCCGCAGGTGCTGGCGGCGTCGGTGGTCGTGGTGCCGTTGCCGGTGGCGGTGCTGGCACGGGTGGCAGCTCGTTTATGCTGCTGCTAGAGAATTTTAACGATTATTTTCCCAACTATAACGGCAGCACGGTTTCGGGCACAACAGTCAGCACGACAACGGCCAGCAGCGTTCTCCTCGATCAGAACGCGACGAGCATCTACTTTGAAACCTATCGAACTAATTGCACGAATTCAACGCTAAATCTAACAACGGAATCCTGTCATGAACTGCGAATTGGTGAGTAGCTGAAGTAGCTTTATCTACACATCGATTCATCGATGGCCGATGCTCTATTGATGCTTTGGGGTCGCGTTTCAACTGCTTGAAATCAATTAACGTCGTAAGGTTAAGTCTTAAGGGGAGTAACCGACTACATCCAGTACTGGGATGCCATTACAAACGTTCGTACTGCCAATTACGTCTTCTATATATCTTCCGTTGACATTTCCGATAGCTTCGATAATTCTAATCAGACCTTAATACAATAACTTTCGAAACCTAAATATGGTAAGGCTATGCTTCTTCAAATTCTTAACTGTTGGGGATAATGTGATAGGTATCTAAATGACAAAATGTTCAAGATCTGTGAGCTTGCTCGTTTGAGGTAATTTGAAGAGCATTCGTTCCAGAATGTCGAAGAAGCCTCCTTATGCCTAATAGCCCTTTTTTCTAACCTTAATGAATACGGGTTACAATAGGTACATTTTAATTTGTCCGCTTCATGAATGTTCACGATATAGTCTATGTATCTACGTCACATCGCACCCATTAGCATTTTGTATTATATTGCTATGCACCTTATATTCTTTATTGTATTTAACTTACCTTTAAGTATTTTCGATTCTGCTAACACATTTTGACTGTTCCTTTGCAGTGGACCACAACTACTGGGCGCTCATCTTGATACTGTTCCCGATCCTAACGCTCTTCGGCAACATTCTCGTCATCCTCTCCGTCTGTCGCGAGCGGTCGCTGCAAACGGTTACGAATTATTTTATAGTCTCATTAGCCATAGCCGATCTGCTGGTGGCCGTAGTCGTAATGCCATTTGCTGTTTATTTTTTGGTAAGTCTTAAGATATATGGCCAACCATTTGGCTGGGCGGGGACGGGGGCGGAAGTCGTGGCCCGGCCACGGTGTCAAAATCAAAATGCCAAATGCAAAATTGCCGGCCATTTGCGTTTAATTTTATCAAGTGTCTGGGGGCCATCCAATAAATAAACATGCACATAAATAACAGCGAGCTGTGTGCTTAAAGAGTGTATGCTGGGCACCGGGACGGTTGGGAGGCTTGGGGCGTGGCAAGGCTTTTTAGTAAATTGCGGCCATTCAAGCAATAACATTCAATTTTTGGTGGCCCGAGCTTATAAATCAATGTATGCATGTGTGCGCACAGTAAGGAAGTAACAAAAAAAGAGAGGAAGAAGGCTAAACAGCAAATCGAATGAGCAAGAGAGAGAGAGAGAGAGGGACCGAAAGAACGAGAGTGTGGGGGAGAGAGAGAGAGAGAGACTGGGAGTTACACAGAAAACAGGTCTAGCTGCTGCCTTCACGTACTTCCTTTGACTTAAGTCGATGTTGCTGTCATTCCAAATGATTGATTGTTCGATTGACTGACTGACTGCTCCCCCAGCCTCCATCTGTCTGCCTGGCTTTCGTGTCTCGTGTCTCCCGCACTCAATCTGCCACTGAGGCTCCAGTTGCTGCCTGTGGCCCGAACGCAACGGTTTGGTTTTTGGCTACCCGCTGGCAGACAGCTGAGCCGAGAGCTGAGAGATGAGAGCTGTCTCCCGCCGTTGCTGACTACCTCACGCCCCAACCGATTAGTAGGCAGTCCGTCTGGCTGATAAAATTTCCCTATTCCACGCTTCCTGAAACGCACGCTCAATCGATTGCAGTTGCCATTTTCATATAGTTGTATGGTTTTTTGGACAGGAACCTTAAATGTTACGGGTAGTAAAAAATATATTTGCGATTAAATTGAAAATTCATATTATAATACATTTTATATATACATATATATAAATATATTAATGGTTTGTGCGCATATTCGTATTAGCTGGTTAGATTGAATTTAGCTCTGAATTCCAAGGACATTTGCCACTTACCCCAACGCCATAAGCGTGGTTAATAGTATTGCAAAACTTTCGGTTAATATATATGTAAATAGTGCTGTGTAATTATGTCGAGCGTCGATATCAATGATAATATGCTCACACTTTGATTAAATAACTGAAAAGGAAAACTTTAAAGTTAGTTTTTTGCAGGGAATGTCAATTCTTTGAGTCTTGAGCAGTCCATTAAAGCTAATCATTCATCAAGTTGAACATGACTGTACTTATGCATATGTAGTTACCGATATTACTGATGCCTATCGACGATGGGTAACTTTCGATAGTTTATATCGAATCCTCTTATGATTAACTCTTATGATTAACTGGGCATGTCCGTCCTTCCGTTTCCTGAAAGAGAATTAAAGAGAATTTATGTATATTTTTTTAGTTGTATTCTGTAATTTGGTTACAGTTGAAGCTTTCGGATATGTTCACAAGAACTGTGGGCAACCTCTGGAATTGCTGAGCTTTTGAACTGTGGAATACACTGCCAGCTGTCATCAGTTAAGCGATATACACATCCCAGTGTGCATATGCGTGTGCATATAAATGTGACATGTATGCACTTATTAATGCATATTGAAATCTGCATTTTTAATTGCTAGCAGTTTTTGTGACACGGACAGCTCAACGTTTGTCATGTTGGCCACAATTAAGTGTGTGTTTATTTTATCCCAGCCATGCTTGTTGTAGTTGTAAAATACAAAATAAATTATATTGTAAATAAAGTCAAATAAATATTGCAATTGCATATTAAAAAGCGAAATTTGTCGCAGGCATAAAAAGCTAACTGTCGCCTGGTGAAATTAAAATTCTCGAAAGTCAAATGAAATTAACAAAAACTGAACGCCAACTGACAGATGCTCTCGTACAGGGCGGAGATTCAGGTGGAAGGCCAATCCCTTGGCCAGCAAGTGGCTTTTCTATGGGGCGGGTCGCCAGGTAATTGACTGCCCGTTGGCATTAATTAATGTGCAAACTTGTTAAATGCCACGAAAAATAAAAATAAAAAGTTGCAGAACCTGTTGAAATTTATCAAAAGCCGTTGCATAATTGTCGCGACTGCCAGATAAATATAAAGATAAAAGGAAAAAGGCCTGTCAGAGCGAAATATTAAAAGTAAAGCCCTACAAACACAATACACACATATGTTGACTATGCATACAGGGAAAATTTTAACCAGAAGCTCGACTCCAATTAGTTTCTTATTGGTTAAGGAGCGCAGCTAAATAAGAGAGAGGGAGAGAGAGTTATATATAGTACAAGTGAGTCAAAAGAGATGGAGATAGTAAGATTGAGATAGGGGAGAGTATGCAAAAGAAAGGGAGAGAAATGGAGAGCTGTGAGAGAGACAGAGAAGGGGACCCCCGCTGAGGAAAATGAAAAGATTAAGCTCATCTAGTTGTTGACTAAGAGCGTTTTTCCTTAATCACATTCAAGACGCTGTCGACGGTAAAAATGCCAGATGCTAATGACAAGCGACTGATATTTGGGCACAAGCAAATCAGCCTGTTGCCGTACCTATACACACACACACACTCACACACACACTCACAGAATCAGACGTGCATTCAGACAGTCTTTCAGTCAACGACAATGACAGCTCATTTAATTTCAATTTGATCATTAAATTGACACACACCCAGCATTGGCTGTCAAACGGACGCCTGCTGTGTGTTGATTTTCTAATACCAAAACGGCGACCACACACTCACACACACACACACATCCGCACACACCTGCACATTGATAGAAATACCCGCACGCACGAACAGAGGAAAATTAACTTGTCATTAAATGCGCTTTGCCTTCCCTTCTGACGGTGCGATGGTCCTGCACTTGCCTGTGTGCATGTGTCAGGTGCTAATTAAGCCTTTTTCACATACACACACACACTCACACACGCAGTCACACACACACTCACACATAAATAGAGTCATGTTGGCGTGTCAGGTGCAGCACACTGTATCAATTATAGCGTTTAACAACAAGCAACAACAACAACAAGTGGCGAAAACAACGAGAGAACATTCAGAGACAACATTCAGACATCATTCACTGAACATTCAGAGAATATTGTGAACACCGCCGCCAGGCATTGCTGCCAAAGTGTTACAGCAGCTGCATTGTGCCGAACAAATCAACTGACAAAAACACATGCGAACACACACACACACACACACACACACACACACACACAGACACTCTGACACAATTGTGTCAATTAGCCAAGGGCGTGTCACAATCGAGCAGTACCCACTGTACTCATTCGCGTATTCATGCATTCAAAATGCAGTTGGCTTCAAAATGATGTCGACCACAATAATTGCATAATTGAATATTTAAGCTCATAAATTAACTTTTAATTAAGATTTTCTTTAATATTGTAAGAACTGTTAATTCTTGCAATCAAGCTTCAATGATAAAGTTATAGACAAGGATTTTGTAGAGAACCTTAAGCCAATCTAGTTGCCATATTAATTATCTTAATTTCGGATGTCTTATTAACATTTAGATCAATAAATAATTGAACTTATTTACGAATTACCTATCTCTCACTTCTTACAAGACTCTACAGAAATGCATTTAAAGGCTCTCTCATTCTCAATCTCTGCGGATATGAGTGTTGACCAGGTTAGGTAAAGTCAAATGATTTGACTCAAGCCTTAACTAAAATTCCTTGTCCACGTCCGAGGTCCTGCAGAGGCACGATGGAGGGGGGATAAAAAATGATAGTATACTTTTTAGCGCAGCCAAAGAGATCCGAAATACGCGCACAATTATTTAGCCTGGCCAAGTCCATGGGTATTTGTGTCTGTGAGGGCATACACACAGTGAAGAGCTGGGGACCGAGCGGGGTGGAGACAGAGAAGGGGAGAGTGGTAGGCACACACGTAAACAGAAATGAAAATTGATTTAGTTAAGAGGATTTGCGTCAACAACAGCACAATAAGTGGGCAGTAACACAGGGCGCTGGGCGACGGCGACGGCGACTGCGCTGGCGACTGTGGATTGGGGCCAACTTGGAGTGGACTGCGGCGCAGGGTTTGGGTGCTGTGTGGATAGCACTTAACTCATAAAAATGAGTGACTGTGTGTGTGTGTATGTGGGTGTGCTTGAGCGAGGCTAGAACGATTCTGACGCAGCCTCAGGATCTCGCTGCCGCTGCGACTCCAAGCTCAGGACTCGGAATGCAACAAGAGACAAGCGTTGACCAAGTTGGCGACTCGGCCAACAATGAGAATTATTGTCAGGCGCATTGCTTATGGACGAACCGACAAACAAACAGACAGACAACTAGACAAACAGACAGCTAACTGAGAAAGCGAATGCGACTCTGCTGCGGTCTTTCAGCGTGTTATACGCCATGGGGCGGTTGGCGGCTGGCGGTCGGCGGTTGGCGGCTAAGCTCATTTCAACTCGCGGCCAAAGCAAGTTCATATGTGTGTATGTGTGTTTGCGGGTGTGTGCGTGTGCGCGTGTGTTGGGGCAGTGCTTTTCTATTTTAAGTGGTTGTATATGCCAGTTGAAAGCTTTTGTCGACATTCAAGTGCCCATTGACAGTGTAAAAGCGTGCAACGTGGCGGGCGTCAGGGAGACAGTGGGCGGCACTGGGCGTGGCTTGAACCAAACTCAAAGTATACGTTCGCCTCAAGTTCGCTTCATGTTCACTGCTATAATCATGTCACGAGTGTGCGTGTGTGTGTGTACGAGTGTGAGTGTGAGGTTGTGCTTTACACGTGTCGGACGCTCCTAATTGCTTTCCTATGCGCCAGTTGACTACAGTGTTGATCTTGCAGCTGTTGTTGTTGCGGCGGCTTTGGCTGCTGCGGTTGCTGTGGTTGCACGCAGCTTGCACAGTGCCTAGGCTTAAGCCTTAAGCGTGTATGACAATCGAGCAGGAGTATTTGTAATTGGGAATATACAAATCACAAACTTGTGGCTTAACGA